ACTCAAAGCACCAGAGCCCATAATTCTAAACAATGAAGAAATAGCTAAACTTTCAGATGCACAATTCAAAACACTGGTGATCAGGATGCTCACAGAACTGGTTGATTTTAGTCACAAATTAGAGGAACATATGAAGGCTAAACTAATTGAAATGAAGGGAAATGCACAGGAAACCAATAGTAATGGAAAGAAAACTGGGACTCAAATCAAAAGAGTGGACCAGAAGGAAGAAAAAAATGACCAAACAGAAAAGGATGAAGAAACAAGAATTCAAAAAAATGAGGAGAGGCTTAGGAACCTCCAGGACATCTTTAAACGCTCCAACATCCTAATTATAGGGGTACCAGAAGGGGAAGAGGAAGAGCAACAAGTGGAAAAGTTATCTGAACAAATAATAAAGGAGAACTTCCCCAATCTGGCAAAGGAAATAAACTTCCAGGAAATCCAGGAAGCTCAGAGAGTCCCAAAGAAGTTGGACCCAAGAAGGAACACACCAAGGCACATCATCATTATATTAGCCAAGATTAAAATGAAGGAGAGAATCCTAGAAGCAGCAAGAGATAAGAGGACAGTCACCTACAAAGAAGTTCCCATCAGACTGTCAGCGGATTTCTCAAAAGAGACCTTCCAGGCAAGAAGGGGCTGGAAAGAAGTATTCCAAGTCATGAAATCCAAAGACCTACATCCAAGATTGATCTATTCAGCAAAGCTTTCATTTAGAATGGAAGGGCAGTTAAAGTGCTTCTCAGATAAGATCAAATTCAAGGAGTTCATCATCATCAAGCTCTCATTATATGAAATGTTAAAGGGACTTATCTAAGAAAAAGAAGATAAAAAAATGAACAGTGAAAGGACAGCAAACTCACAGTTATTAATAACCACACCTAAAACAAAAGCAAACTAAGAGGACAGCTAGATCAGAAGCAGAACCATAGAAATGAAGATCACATGGAGGGTTAGTAACAGGGGAGTGGGAGGAGGAAAAGGGGGGAGAAGGTACAGAAAATAAGTAGCATAGACGGTGGGTAGAAAATAGATAGGGGGAAGGGCAAGAATAGTAGGGGAAGTATGGAATCTAAAGAACTTGAGACACGTGGTCATAAACTAAATGGGAATGGTGGGGGAGGGGTGTGCAGGGTGGAGGGAAATAAAGGGGGGAGAATAGAACAACTGTAATGGCATAATCAATAAAATATATTTTTTTTAAAAAACCACTGGCTATAAGAAACCTGTGGGGGTTGCAGGAGAACTCCCAGCCTCACAGGAGTCTGTTGGAGGGACCAATGGGGTCTTAGAATGTACACAAACCCACTCACCCAGGAATCAGCACCAGAAAGGCACAGTTTGCTTGTGGGTAGCAGGGAAAGTAACTGAAAGTAGGGCAAGAGCCAGGCAAGTGGCACTGTTCCTTCTTTGACCCCCTCCCCAACATACAGTGTCAAAATGCAGAGCAGTGGGTAACCCCTTACAACGTAACAGAGGCACATAGACAAAGAAATATGACCCAAATGAAAGTAGAGATCAAAACTTCAAAAATAGAACTCAGCGATGAGGAGACAGCCAACCTGTCACATACATAGTTCAAAACACTGGTAATCAGGAGGCTTATGGACATGATGAATACAGCTGCAAAGTAAAGGAACAAGTGAAGGTTATACAAAGTGAAACGAAGAAAAATATGTGGGGAACCAACAGTGAAGCTAAGGAAACCAGAACTCGAATCAACAATTCTGAGCAGAAGGAAAAAATAAACATTAACTGGAAGAGAATGAAGAAACAAAAATTCAAAAAAAAAAAAAAAAAACAAGGAGAGGCTTAGAATCCTCTGGGACAATTCTAAATGTTCCAACATCTGAATCATAGGAGTGCCAGAAGGAGAAGAGGAAGAGCAAGAAATTCAAAACTTATTTGGAAAAAATAATGAAGGAAAACTTCCCCAATCTGGCAAAGAAAATAGACTTCCAGAAAGTCCAGAAAGCTCAGAGTGTCCCAAAGAAGTTAGACCCAAGGAGGAACACACCAAAGCACATCATAATTACATTACCCAAGATTACAGATAACAAAAGAATGTTAAAAGCAGCAAGAGAAAAGGAGACAGTTACCTACAAAGGAGTTCCCATCAGACTATCAGTTGATTTCTCAAAAGAAACCTTGCAGATAAGAAAGGGCTGGAAAGAAGTATTCCAAGTCATGAAAAGCAAGGACCTACAACCTAAATCACTCTATCCAGCTAAGATATCATTTAGAATGGGAAGGCAGAAAAAGTGCTTCCCAGATAAGGTCAAGTTAAAGTAGTTTATCGCCACCAAGCCCTTATTATATAAAATGTTAAAGGGACTTATCTAAGAAAAAGAAGGTCACAAGTGAGCAGTCAAATGCCAGCAAATACAACTATCAACAACTGAACCTAAGAAAAACAAAAACAAACTTAGCAAACAACAAGAACAGAAACAGAATCCCAGAAATGGAGACTCGTGGACATGAGCAAATGGGAGGGAATGCTGGAGGGATGGCAGAGTGCAGGGCAAAGGGGGATAAAGCGGAAGGGGAAAATGGGACAACTGTAATAGCATAATCAATAAAATATACTTAAGAATAAATAATCACTCAGGGAATGAAAGTTTAAACCATTAAAAATTAGAATTAGAAATGACAGTGAGAAGGAATTATGCTGCCTCTGCTCTCCACATATGCCAGGGACACATCACCCCAAAGGACCTTTCCCTCCAAAATTTCCCCTTCCTCACCCTGGGGAACTTCTCTTTGAACACCTCCATACAAAGTACTAATCATGGGAGTGGGCTCCCCACAGCTCCATCCTCTCTTTTAAATAACAGGGAAAATTGCCTCCCCAGTTTTCTCTCTTGTGAGAGTACTCATCACCATCTTCCTCCTTCTCTACAACTGCCATTCACTTTAGAATCAGGAAGCACATTTCTGTCACCACCACCAGCTAATGCTGATATGCTACCAACCACAAGACTCCAGGTCTTGCCTTGTCTATACCCCAATGCAGGGCTCTCCAGGAACAGACATTACCAGCTCTGAGTCTCATGCTTCACAAGACTTGGGTGGCTTCTAATGCAAAGACATTCTATTCATTCCTCTGCTGACCCACCCCACATCTTCCTCCTGAGGTTCCTGTCTCTGCATCAGGCACCATTGCAGAAATCAACAGTCATACAGATGTGTCTTTCTTTCATCATTCCCATTGCCATTTCGAACCCAGCAGAAGCAAGAGACCAATTTATCATCTGGAAACTGAAGAACTAAATATTAGTGTCAAAGAATAAGACATGCAGGTAGGCTTTTTATTTCATTGCCCTCAGGAAAAAGTGATCTTACAAATGAAGGTCACATTCTAGAATACCAACTGAGGTGTGGGGACACGTTATAGAATACTTTTTAAAGCAGATTTGCCTTCTGGATGCTTGAGGGAGATCATGGGAGGGAGTGTATATGTATATACATGTGCTGAGCTGTTTTTGGGAATTTGTGCATACGTGTAATAAGGATGCTCTCTGTTACATTTTATTATTGTGTGCCTATGTTCAGAGTGTGGCCTGTTTGGAGGGAAGTGGTTGAAAGCTTGCCCGACTGAACTGTTGGTATGTGTCTATGTAATCCCAGAATCAGAAAATTTGACTTTTATAACTCAACATCTCTAGCACCATTGGGCCATAAGCCTGAATGTAACCTCTTGTACCTTATTCATCTCCAACATGACCCCAATGTTATAAAATTGTCTAAAAATGGAAGTCAAGCTTTGCATGTACCTTTATCCTCCACAGTCCCTAGTATAATAAATAATATAGTCTGGTTTATTTTTTAAAGCAAGGATCTTGGAATTAGTCAGATTTGGATTGAAATTTGGATAAGCATTTACAGAATGTGACCTTGGGCAAGTTATTCAACCTCTATTATTCTTCTGTCTTCCTCTATAAAATGGGAACAATGCTTAATTCTCAGGTGAATAAAGATTGGTGTTAATATATGAAAAGGGACATAAACTTACATATTAGTCTGTCATTATCTAGTTAGGACCCCTCTAAAAATCTGTTTCCTGATCTGTGAAATAAGGATAACAATAATTAACATTTATTAAACACCAACTATATGCCAGGCACTCTTCCAAGAGCTCTATGTGTTTTACCCACTTAACCAATTCTATTTTAATATGAGGAAACTGGGCACAAAGAGGTTAAGCAACATGCTCAAGGCTGCTCAGCCAGGAAATGGCAGCATCAAGACTTAAACTTGGACAGTCTGACTCTCAAATCCTTGTTCTTAATCACAACAAGTAAAATTTCTTTTGCCTAAAGAGGATATGACAGAACTATATAAACATGATGTTTTGTTGGGTGGAAAAGAGTTTTTTCCTTAAAAATAGGAGATTGTAATTTTTAAAGTAAGAATAGTGAATATGATATTTAAAAGAGCATGTCTTTGTAGTGAAACTTGTCAGGAAACATGCAGTAGACAGATTTGTATATGACTTTCATCCATCACATTAATCATTATGGTTTTTGTACCATTAGGATATTTGATTCAGCATCACTCTCAAGAGTTAAAATGTTCTATGTTCCCTTCACAGAACATTTCTTTGAAAAATATTTATTGAAATCAGAGCCAAGAGGATAGGACAGGAAGTTTAGAAGGCATGTAGTTCTAAGTCCTTCTTTTACACAAGAAAACAGTGAGGTGAAGGGAAATAAAGTGCCTTCCCCATACCAACTAACTGGCCCAAGGCAGTTATGGTAGATGGAACCCAGTTCTCCTGACTTCTAGTTTAGTGTTCTTTCCTCTACTCCGCTGACTCTGTTTAAAGGTTGGTATGCACGTTCTGGTCTCTGTTGATCATAATCATCACACCAGATTGTAAACAGGAAGGGCATGGGCATTGGAAGCAGCCTAGGAGAGAGACTTACCATAGATGAGAACTTAATAGTCAGCAGTGTGATGGGTTGTCTTAATAGGAATAGAGCACCTGAAACAAGGTGTTGATTGTACCCAGCCTGGTTTATTGCATTTATTTGTAAGCACTACACAGTTTCAAAGAAGGGGTAGGGTAGCTCAGAGCGAAATCTGTCTTCCAATACCTGAAAGACTATCATGTAGGAAGGAGATTAGGTTTCTGCATTGGCCCCTAGGAGTACAACCAGGAGCAGGGAAGCAGCTGAAAGAGAACTGATATGGAAATCAGACAGGTCTGTGTACAAGCCCTAAATTGTTCACTTGCTAGAACAATTTAGCCTTTATGAGCCTAAGTTTATTCATCTATAAAATGGGAATTCTGTCTCCCTCCTGGAATCTAGTAAATACAGTAACTAAACTATGCTAATATATGTCTATCTTCCTAAACTAAGGGTTCAGGTCTGTAAATGAGATTATAATCCATATGTAAGCATTGTACGTATTCCATCCCTTTCCTCACCTGACCCCACATGCCCAGGTTTTCTTTTGCTTGCAGGGGATAATATCGCCCTTTTATATTTTGTCCTTCCAAACATTCTTCTGGGAGTTTTTATCCTTTAGGCCAACCACAGCACAGAAGAGCACTTCTTCCTGCTAGGTTTCTTTCATGGGCCCTCCTCCAGCCTATTCTCTTCCCTCTGCTACCTTCTGACCTGCTCCTGCACACATCCATGCACTATTTCCTCTGTCACTGGGCCTGGTAGAGGCAGGCTTCACCATGAGCATGACGCTGAGGCAGGTGGCCACCCACTGTGCTAGCCCAGCTCTTCTTGCCTCAAGTCTGCAGCACGCTGGCTGGTGCCTCCTGGCTGGGTGGCCTCACCAGCCTCCTGGCTCAAATGGAGCTCCTGTGAGTGCAACCGCTGTGTGTGCACAGCCAGGTGGACAACTTCATCTGCGAGCTGTCTGAGCTCCTTAGGCTGGCCTGCTGAAACATCAGCGAGCACCAGATATTCACCACCCGCGTGGTCATACCAGTGGTGCTGTCCACAGTCATCCTGGACTCATATGGCACCGCGGCCCATCCTCTATGGGGCATGTGGTCCAGCAGGAACTGGAGAAAAGCATAAAGGGTGTGGGGTGGAAGGGACACATGCGGATTCCCACCTGACAATTTAGCTTGGCCATCTGCACCTACCTGCAACCCACATACAGCTACCACCGAGAGCGGGGCAAGGTTTTTTGTTTGTTTGTTTGTTTGTTTGTTTGTTTTTGCTTTTGCTTTTATACAACGTAGTCACACCAGCCCTCAACCCACTCGCCTACACCCTCAGAAATAAGAAAGTGTGGGGGGGGGCAGGCAATGAGGAGGCTACTGAGAAGTCACTCTGTGGAGACAGCAGGTTGGGCTGTACTTGACTCAGTGGGGTATGGGAGAAAGTGTTAGCCCAGGGCCCAAGGATGGGAATGCCCACTGGAAACTTAGTTTATCCTTCAGGCTATTCATTTCTGTATGAGCATCTACAAGATTTGTCATCAGGAAGTCTAAGGTATTAACCCTAGCGGAGATTCCTTCATCCTATTAAGAAAATGTTCATATGCTGAGAAAAAAAATCCCCATGCCCTCTATTATAAATGCAGATTTAGAGATGGGGAAATGGCCCTCAGGCTTTCACTGAGGCTTATTCACCTCAGGCTGATAAAGAGAGAAAGCATGATTTTGTGAAGACCTTTCCAGTCTCAGGAGACAGTGTAACCACCTCTCGAGAATCCATATGCTGGTAAGATGACAAGTGACATGATACTTAGCTTTAGTTCTCTCCCTGTCTGGTGTAAGACACCATGAAAGACTCCCTGGTGTCTGCCATCAGAAGTCCTCCAAATTGACGAGGAAATCATAGACTCTGCCTTGCAGGAGACCCCACCCATGGTCTCTCATATAGGGAAACCAGTTCAATCTAATGCCCACCTAAGACAGGTGATGAATGCCCACCACAAAACACTTGTCCCATATGTTTGATGAGAAACATCCATCAGTGTAGTTTATGCTGAGTAGGTTGAGAAACTCTTCAAAGAGGTGGTTCTTGAGCAAGATTTAAAGATAGAAAGGGACTAGACTGGTGGGGAAGAAGGTAGACATGTCTCGGGTTGCGAGAAAAATGTGCATGTGGCCAGTAAGGGAACATGAGAGAAGGACAGTAGGACAGAGGAATAATTGAAGGGCATAAGATGGAGAAAGGGACATGATTTCCCAAGAGAGAACCTGGTAGTGAAGAATCCAGAAAGGAAAAAGCTCTATTAGCCAGAACCTGGACAGGGTGTTGGGTCAATTCAGAGATCAACCCCTAGACCCCTTACCCAAACTGATACCTCTAACCTAGAGAGGCCCTAAGGCAGGCAGGGCAAACATTGCTCCACAACCCCCCACCTTCTAGAAAGTGCATTCCCTCCTGAAGAATCTGTAGCCAAGAAGCACCAACCCCACAGAGCAAAAACTCCCTTGATCATCAGGGAAAATATATTTCCATGTCCTCCATAATCCCCAGAAATTGGGACCATTTTTAATTGGGTACAGGACAGAGAGAATAAGAGGGAGCATGGTGCCAGGTTTCATTTTATAACAAACAGCTTTGAATAAGAAGAGGGGAAGTACTGTAGTTTAATTTAACTTCTAAATTCTTTATTAATTAAATTGTGATCGTGTCAGATTGATTAATTCACTTCATAATAAATGATTTCACTATTCTCTATAAATAGAAATTCAATTTGGTTCAACAGTTATCTGGTAATATGATAGGTAAAGCACTGGCTTACACATAGATGGAAACAGAAATAAGTAGAACATTGATCCCAGCCTAAAACTTACTATGTTTTTGCATAGTAAAGGCAACAGGAGTCTTTCTATAAATCAGAAGGAACCAAGAAAGTATTAATTGTTAAGCTGGCTCTGAATGCTATCTGTAATATGCCTTAAAAATTTATTTTCTGTTCTCAGAAATACACACAATCCTGCCACTTAATTATGTTAGAATCAAAGAATCATAGTGTTAAAAAGTATTCTGCAGTTTAACACCCACCTCCAAATCTAATCTTTCTATTGATTTCTTTCTCAATAGTTTTGAGAAGCCATCAAAGGATGTGGCTGTTGAGTAAGAGATACAAGGAAATAAGCTCTTTTGCTCCTACTATCACCCTATCCCCAGGATAGTCACCCCCCAATGCAGTGGTATGTCAAGAAGAGTAAATTGCCCCTTTCGATGCCATAATTTGCCATGGTGTTCCCATCATGTAGTTTCTTTCCATTGCAAGTCACAATCTGCTTCTCGGGAGTCACACCAGTCTTGGTTTTGATCATCTCTTTCACCTCAGCCACAGAGCTATGCCTTCGCACATGGAGGAGGTGCCTCTGGCCCTCATCACCTGACTCAACCAGAAATAAGGGCAGTTCCTCATCACTGGGCTTCACCACCTTCAGAGTGAGATGGATGGTTGTCTCCTTGTCAATTCCATAAGATGATAGCTTCCTGCGAGGCTTTAGGATCTTTGAGCCTAGCAGAAGGACCTGATCCTGCACAGGAACCTTGGTCTTAGATCGGACATGTTCATTGATCTTCTTCACTTTGTCATCCAAGTTGGCAGTGAAGGTCATTGATTCCCATTCCTTAGAATGAACATTCACCTGGACAATGAAGACCAACAGACATTTGCCAAGAATATCTGCCAAATTTTACACCCCACGTTCCCTCTCCTGAAATTCTTCTGCCCTTCTTTGTCTGTCTGGTCCTCCAGCTCCTTCAAAACAAGGAGCTGGAAACAAGGAGCAAGAAAGGGTGTGGCTCACCCTTTCTTGGAACTTCTCTTTTGGAATTCTGAGGTTATAAGTCAAACAAACAAACAAAAAAAATCAGTCCTATTCCTTATAATTGTACCTCTTATCCATACCAAAATTGTCATTAGTAATTTCCCACCACATTTACCTGCTTCCTAGCCAAATAAAGTTTGTCAAATATTAAAAACTAAATAGAAATACAAACCATCCAAAGGTGTACACAAGGCTCTTAAAATAATTCCCAAATAGAATCTCTGAGATTTGGCAGCCGAATCAAGTATGCACAGGGTTGCCCTCCATGACTACTGTAGAAAAAAACCCTGTACTTTAGTTTTTTTAATATCTCATTGCTTTATAATAATGACACATATTAAAGTGACACTAGGTTCAATTATATTTGTTCATCTGTGTTTCCTGTGGGGAGTGGTGTATTTTTCTTTTTTCTTTTTATTTTAATTGTTCAAGTACAGTTTTCTGCCTTTTACTTCCATCCCAGCCCACCCTGGAGCCCTCCCCACCTCCCTCCCATTTCCACCCCCTCCCCTTGTTATTATCCATGTGACCTTTATACTTGTTCCTGCAAACCCTTCCCTGAAATTCCCTCCCCTCTCCCTTCTGGTCACAGACTCATTTCCTGTGTTTTTATACCTACCCATTGTAAAATATGATCTAATTCTTTAATTAAAACAGGGCCTCACTCACAGAAGATAGGGACTCTAAGTCTTCAGAAGCTAACCCCTGTGCTGTCCCATGAAAGCCTTGGAAGACCTCTCTCATGCTCTGTTAAAAAAATAGATATATATCTTCCCTATTTAGAGGTCACAGGCATTTCTTCACTGCACTGTCACCTCCGTGCTAGGCATTGCCCTCATTTCAGGTTCTGTTCATAGGATACCTATTCTCATATAAGGTAATGTATCAGCTCATTAACAACTTAGGATAAATGAGTTTTGTGAACCTCTCTTTTGAGAAGAGAAGGAATTTTAAGTTTAAGAGTCCTGGACACCTAAACGGGGTAAGAAAAAAACACCTCCAGAGAATATTTCCATAGTTTCAAATTTTGCCAGCCATATTAAGCACAAAGCCCAAACCTACCTCTTACATTTATCCCTCACAGTGGCCAGTCCAAGGCCTGACACAAAAGAAAACTCAGGAGCCAAATAGCCAGCTTTTCTTCACAGAAACTGCCTTCACGTTCTGGAGATATCAGTGCTTCTTGAAGGCCTCCCCTTCAAAAAGCCTTCCCAGCTTCCCCATCTCCCTGAGCACTGTGCCCCATCCATTCCTAAGATCCCCATCTCTTGAAGGTGCTTTCCCTGTCCCCATTACCATTATCAAACCCCAACTTACACAGAGGCAGGAAACATTGGAAGCCATCTCTGCAATCAAGGGAGCAGCAGAAACCAGAGACTGAGGAAACAGGAGACATAAAGAGGACTTTGCATCCAGCTTCTATATAAGCAGCTGAATTGGAAATCCCCTGCATGTTTGTCTAGCTTTCCGGTGCCCTTTGGTCTCGAATGGTCTCATGAATTTTCTTTCACTTTTACTAGGGTGAGTCAAAAAACAAGAATACTTTCTGATCAAGCACTTCTCCCCTCAGCCAATCCATGTGTCCTCCTTGTTCTGAATATCAAATGGTCTGTTGAGAATTTTTCCCTATTAACAACGCACCACTACCACTCTTCACTTATGACTGTCCAGTCTGTAGCCCTGTGCCCTCAGTGACTAAAAGACCTTTAATACTTATGGTCTTTTCCTGATGCACCCAGGAGAAGACAGGAGACTATGATTTGGGCACCACACCAAATCATAGGGGTGCCAGAATCAGAGGGGTGTCAGAGTTGGTATGGAGTGGTGGGACCATGAGCAGCCTATTCAGACTGTCTTGGCAGGATGTGTGAAGCATGTCCTGAGAAGACATAGGATAAATATCCCTGGTTCAGTCCTGTGGAGCCAACTGCTATATTACTTTGGGCAAACCTGTTCACCTCTTTAGATACTGGTTCTTTGGTCTATTAAATGAGATAATTGAAGAGGGCTCCTAAGTGTCTTGCAGGCTTAGAAAACTGTGTTTATAAAATGTCATTTCTTGAGCCCTCTAATCCTGTCCCAAACCAAATCCACTACATGAGAACAATCCAAAACCAAAAATCAAATGCTGACTCCCACCTTCCATGTGCTAAAACAATCCCACATCCACTCTCAGAACACAGTGCCTTTGTTTCCCCACGCTTAGTCCTAGACACTCCTCACTACTGTGATCTCAGAGATACTTAAAAGTGCTGGTCACTCCTTGGCTCTAGATATTTGGATTTGGACATAAAGGAGTGCATGAGCAGTGTCTCTTCAGGGAATGTACTCAATCACTCTGATCCAACTAACATTGCAAATAATCAATCCACTATCCCAAACTCTCAGGACATTGCCACAAATCCCATTTTAAAAGGGAAAAACAAAAGGACTTCTGGCCAATATGGGGACATAGATGCATACACTTTGCCTCCTTGCACAACCAAAGGAAGGACAACAACAAATTAGAAACAAAAAACAACCAGAACTGCCAGAAAATCAAACTGTATGGAATCCCAACAACCAAGGAGTTAAAGAAGAAACATTTATTCAGACAGGTAGGATGAGCAGAGACAGGCAGCCGGGGCAGAGAAGACCAGAAGCAAGGTGGTGGCTGGAGGACCAGGTGGGCGAGGCAGCAGCTGGCAGTCCTGGCAGTTACCCACATTAGCGTGTGGATAAACCGGGAGGAACAACTGGAGAGTAAGACAGGCTGCAGCCACTCAGAGTTCCAGCACAGGGAAATAAAGCCTCAAAACCTCTGGCTATAGAAATCTGGGAATTGTGGCAGTGGGAGAAAATCCCAGCCTCACAGGAGAGTTCACTGGAGAGAGCCCAATTTGCTTGTCGGTAGCATCAGAAATGACTGAAAACCAGAGTCAAGCAAGCAGCATTATTCCCTTTTGGACCCTTCCCCCACATACAGCACCACAACTCAGGGGAGTGGGTTGCCCCATCCTGGTGAACACCTAAGACTCTGCTCCTTAAAACACAACAGGTGCACTGAGACAAAGAAATATGGTCCAAATGAAAGAAGAGATCAAAGCTCCAAAAATAGAACTAAGCAATGAAGAGATAGTCAACCTATCACATACAGAGTTCAAAACACTGGTAGTCAGGAAACTCACAGAAATGGTTGAGTACTATCACAAAATAGAAGAAGTAGTCAAGGCTATGCAAAGTGAAATAAAGCAAAATATACAGGGAACCAACAATGATGGTAAGGAAACCAGGACTCAAGTCAATGATTTGGAGTAGAAGGAAGAAGCAAACACTCAACCAGAACAGAATGAATAAAAAAGAATTTGAAACAATGAGGAGAGGCTGAGGAACCTCCGGGACAACTTTAAACATTCCAACATCCAAATCATAAGGGTGCCAGAAGGAGAAGAGAAAGAGCAAGAAATTTAAAACTTACATTTGAAAAAATAATGGAGAATTTTCCTAATCTGGCAAAGGAAATAGACTTTCAGGAAGTCAAGGTAGCTCAGAGGGTCCCAAAGAAGTTGGACCCAAGAAGAAACACACCAAGGCACATCATAATTACATTACCCAAGATCGAGGATAAGGAGAGAATCTTAAAAGCAGCAAGAGGAAAGGAAAGAGTTACCTACATAGGAGTTCCCACCAGACTATCAGCTGATTTCTCAAAAGAAACCCTGCAGGCAAGAAGGTGCTGAAAAGAAGTATTCCAAGTCATGAAAGGCAGGGACCTACATCCAAGATGACTCTATCCAGCAAAGCTATCATTCAGAATGGGAGGGCAGATAAAGTGTTTCCCAAATAAAGTTAAAGGAGTTCCTTATCACCAGACCCTTATTATATGAAATGTCAAAGGGACTAATCTAAGAAAAAGAAGATGATCAAAACTGTGAACAAAACAACAATAAACTCACAACTATCAACAACTGAACCTTAAAAGTGACCAAAAAACAAAAGCAAACTAAGCAAACAATAGAATAGGAACAGAATCACAGAAATGGAGATCACATGGAGGGTTATGAGTGGAAACTGAGAGGGGGAAGATTGGAGGAGAAGGTACAGGAAATAAGAAGCAGAAATGATAGTTACAAAATAGACAGAGGGAGGTTACGAATAGTATAGGAAATGCAGAAGCCAAAGAACTTAAATGGACACAAATTAAGCTGGGGGGAGGGGGTGGTCCTTGTGGGAAAGGATACAGGGTGGAGGGGAATAAAGGGGAGAAAAAATGGGACAACTGTAACTGCAAAATCAATTTTAAAAAGAAAGAAAAAAAGCATTTATTAAAAGTGCTCCAGAGTTTTTCAAAGTAAGAAGCCTGTAAAAATGCTAAGTTATCATGTTTGTTCGCTGTGCTTTCAGTGGCCATTTCCTGTACCCTCATTCACTGGTAGATCTCAAATGATCTCATTTTATTTCAGGGCTTTTTATTGGGTGAACTGGGATTTGTGGGAAGTGCCTGCATAGGGTAATGGGAATCCAAGAGCTCATTCCAACATTTCAAAGAGCTTAACATGAACCATGTTCTTCTACTTAAAGCTCTTATTACATAATTAATAAAACTGGAAAAACTAAATATTTGAATGAGGTTTTTTGTGGGGTTAGGCACATTTCTTTAAACACATAGGAGGATGAGTATGAAAGGAGAAGAGTGCCTGATGGAACAGGCAGGAAACCTTGGTTCCTGCTAGTCTCCTCTCAGATATCTCTCCAGGTTCCTCCTGTGTCCTGTGTTGAGAGACCAATATTGTGACTTTTGGCTTCTACACACCCAAAAAAGATTGCTGTGCACCCAGTGTCCACTAGGATTCAGGTATTCTGAAACATCACCAGCAGCAGGCAGAAACGTCAGATCAGGTGAAGGTGACAGGGAAAGAGAAAGCCCCACAGCAGGATAAGGATGGGTGATGGGCCCGGAAAAAGAGAAAGTAAAAGTTGTACAAGCCATGACTTAAGTAAACTGCTTTGCACCTATTACCTTCTTAGATCTTCACGTCATTTCTGGAAAAGAAAGAAGGAGAGTAAATGTTTAAAGCTGTTTAAAATTAAAGCAGCTTTAATTTTAAAAAGAAATCTCTCTACTCAATTTTTTTTTTCTTCTTTGCCATTCTTCCCTCAGAAGTATCAATGTTTTCATTCTCAGGGGAAGTAGAAAACCTTAGCCAGAAGCTCCAGGAGGCAGAGCCTAGGAACAACAGTCCCAGGAATGTTATTCATCTATTGATGCCCCTCAGATCTGTACCTTAGAGCCCAGACCTGAGCTGCTTCCATTCACGGTTCCCTGAATTCCCTGCATATCCTCGAGCATGCCAAGCTCTCTGCCACCAGGTTGTTGAACATGTCTTTCCCTCCAATGCCACCCCCAACACCATGAATTTATAGGAATATGCATTGTAAGCAGCATCTCCTCCAGGAATCTTTCCCTAATTCTCCTCTTTTCTGTTCTGGGTTATGTGCCCATCTTCTGTCCTTTCATACTCTCTCCAAAAACCTTTCAGAGCCCATCTCTCCAGCAATAGGATCATCTGCTTACTTATGCTTTGCCCACAGTAAAGAGTAGAAATCTTGAGGGTCATGATTATGTCTCAGTTAATTTGTATCTTTATTTACTAAATGAATGAATTAACAAATGAATAAGTGAATAAAAGTGGAAAATACCTACTGAGTATTTATTATATTCCAGTAATTTCATTAACTGCTTTAGTATTCTAACAAGGTAAATATTACTATTCTTTTTTAAATATATTTTATTGATTATGCCATTATAGTTGTCCTATTCCCCCCTTCCTTCGCCTCCACCCTGCACACCCCTCCCCCACCATTCCCCCCCCCCTTTTGTTTATGTCCATGTGTCACAAGTTCTTTAGATTCTATATTTCCCATAGTATTCTTACCCTCCCCCCTATCTATTTTCTACCTACCATCTATGCTACTTATTCTCTGTACCTTCATCCCCCTTCTCCTCCTCCCACTCCCCTGTTGCTAACCCTCCATGTGATCTCCATTTCTATGGTTCTACTCCTGATCTAGCTGTCCTCTTAGTTTGCTTTTGTTTTAGGTGTGGTGGTTAATAACTTGAGTTTGCTGTCCTTTCACTGTTCATGTTTTTTTTATCATCTTTTTCTTAGATAAGTCCCTTTAACATTTCATATAATAAGGGCTTGATGATGATGAACTCCTTCAACTTGACCTTATCTGAGAAGCACTTTATCTGCCCTTCCATTCTAAATGAAAGCTTTGCTGGATAGAGCAATCTTGGATATAGGTCTTTGGATTTCATGACTTGGAATACTTCTTTCCAGCCCCTTCTTGCCTGGAAGGTCTCTTAGGAGAAATCAGTCTGATGGGAACTCCTTTGTAGGTGACTGTCTCCTTATCTCTTGCTGCTTCTAGAATACTCTGCTTCATTTTAATTTTGGCTAATATAATTATGATGTGCCTTGGTG